TTGGAGAGTCTCACAGGCTTTCCTGCCCCGACTGGCTTTGAACCGTGAGCCTCAGATCTCAGGCTCCTGAGTAGCTAGGACTACAGGTATGAGCCACAGGTGCCCGACCTTTAAGGAAGAAAACGTAAATATCTTCTTGCTAAGTGAAACCTAGGCAGTAATTCAGTTTTCTCTTCATATGACTTCAAAACCCTTCCACTTCAGCGTCCTGTACAACCACGGTCGGTATGGCTGCAGGAACTTCTTTCTAATCCGTCCTAGACACCTAGACATTTCTGTATGAATATTCATAATGGCAAAAAACCAGGTGGAAACTGCCTAAATGCCCATCCATTGATGGATAGATGAAGAAAACCTGGTAGATCACCACAGTGGAATATTCTCAGCAGTGGAAAGACATAGATAAGCCTTAAGATGTTTTTTAAAGCCAGTCAGAAGACCGCATATTATATGATTTCGTGCTTATGACACGTGCAGAATCAGAAAACTGGTAGAGACGGAAAGTAGGTTAGTGTTTGCCTGGGGGTGGGGTGAGCAAGTATTGGGAAGTAACTGATAATTGGGTATGAGGTTCTCCTTTGGGATAATAAAAATGTTGTAAACTTTTACAACTCAGAACATATTGAAAACCATTGAACCATGAACTTCAAGAAGATGCATTGTATGTAGCCCAGTATTGGTGGCTCACGCCTGTAATCCTAGCTACTCAGGAGGCTGGGATCTGAGGAACTCGGTTCAGAGCTTGCACAGGCAGGAAAGTTAACCACCAGAAAACTGGCACTGTAGCTCAAGTGGTAGAGCACTCTCACCTTGAGCTGAAGAGCTCCAGGGTTCAAGCCCCTTGACCGACAAAAAGATGCATTACATTTCATGCATGCAATTAAATCATTTTCTCTTGGCTGGGAAGGGGGGTACAGTGACCCTCTCAAGCAGCAGAGGGACACAGGTACAGAGAAGGTACAGAACAGTTGGGTAACATTGGGCCCCTCATGCTTCCCTTTATTGCCAGAAGAGCCTCTGTCTACCCCTGACCTCTGCCTCTGTCATCACTAAGCATTTCATTTGTTGTTGTTTTTTGTTTTGTTTTTGCCAGTCCGGGGGCTTGAACTCAGTCTGGGAACTGTCCCTAAGCTGCTTTTGCTCAAGGCTAGCACTCTCCCACTTGAGCCACAGCACCACTTATGGCTTTTTCTGTGTATGTAGTACTGAGGAATTGAACCCAATGCTTCATGCATGCTAGGCAAGCAATCTACCACTAAGCCACATTCCCAGCCAGCAGGGGTCTCTCTCCTGCTTGAAAGGTTCAATGTACCCCCCTTCCCAGCCAAGAGAACATGATTTAATTGCATGCATGAAATGTAATGCATCTTTTTTTTTTTGGTCAGTCAAGGGGCTTGAACCCTGGAGCTCTTCAGAGCTTAATGTAAATGGACGTCTATAGCATGTGACCTTTGGGGTGTGGCCCTTTTGTTTGTCGGTCTTGGAGGCTGAACTCTGGGCCTGGGTGCTGTCCCTCAGCTCTTCAGCTCAAAGCTAGTACCATACCACTTGAGCCACAGTGCCACTTCCAGCTTTTTTTCTGTTTATGTCGTGCTGAGGAATTGAACCCAGGGCCTCATGCATGCAAGGCAAGCGCTCTACCACTGAGCCACCTTCCCAGCCCACATTTTTATTTCTTATAAAAAACTAGTTTAATTTCCCCAACTGTTTTTCGGGAGCACAGGTTTCAATTTTATTCACACCTGCAATGTTTTTCTCCATCTTCACTGGCACCTTTTATTTATCCTGACGGCCATGAAAGGTGAACAACTGGAGCCATACCCTTTTTTTTGCTTCCCTTATCTTTAGATAGGGTCTCCTTACCTTGCTTGAAGGGTTTCAGACTGAAATCCTCTTCCCTTCATCTCCAGTGCAGCTTGGATTACAAGTATGTGCTACCACCTCAACCCAAAAGTTCATTTTAATGAAATGCAGGGTTTTTTTTCTCTCTAATGGCAGTGGTTTTGGCATCAGGTCTCACACCTTGTCCTAAGTCTCAGAAATTGATTTCCCCCCCTATTTTTTTCCTCTGAAGGTTTTTTTTTTTTTTTAACCATTTTACATTTTTAATTCTGATCCAATTTCAGCTAACTTTTGTCTAAGACTTGAGCTCAAACTGATGTTTGCTTTCTTGCCTGTGGATATCCAATTTGTCCCATATAGTTGCCTTTCCCAAACAACACGTTTAAGCCTATTTGGGGTTCTGTATTGATCATTTCATCTATGCCTCTGCCAACATTACCGTCTTGATTACCACAGCAATAATTGAATAATTGAATAATTGCTGTTAGAATCCGTCTACCATCCCAGGGGATCACGCAGAGGCAGGCAGGCACAAGAGAAAGATTATTATAAGGTTTATTAGAGCAGCCATGTTTCCCCCAGGAGAGGAGCAATATGACATCTGCCCCTATCCAGGTAGGTAACTCGGGCTAGTGGCAAGGTCCAGGTCCGTGGGCAGGTAGGTCTGGGTGGAGAATGGGAGCAGCCAGCTACGTGGAGGGAACTCTAGGGCAGGGATAAGCTCAGGTCTGGGTGGAGCTGAGGTCCAGAGGTAGGGATAATGCTATCATTTACTACAGCTGTCATTGAATAGAGGTGTTCTTACTTTGCTCTGAATTTTCAGGATTATCTTAGGTATTCTAGAACTTGTACTCTTCTGTATAACTTTCAGAATAAGCTTGTCTATCCTGGGGTTTGAATTCAGGGCCTGGGCGCCGTCCCTCAAATTTTTGCTCAAGGCCAGCGCTCTATAACTTGACCCACAGCTTCACTCCCCGATGTTTGGAGGTTAATTGTTTTTTTTTTTTTGTTTTTTTTTTTTGGGGGGGGGGGGGAGGGTCCGGTCGTGGGGCCTGAACTCTGGGCCTGGGCTCTGTCCCTCAGCTCTTCAGCTCAAGGCTAGTGCTTTACCACTTGAGCCACAGAGTCACTTCCTGCTTTTTTCTTTTTTGCTTATGTGGTGCTGAGGAATCGAACCCAGGGACTCAGGCATGCAAGGCAAGCGCTCTACCACTGAGCCACCTTCCCAGCCCCTTTGGAGGTTAATTGGGAATGAGTCTAGTATGGCTGGCTTTGAGCTAGGATCCTCAGATCTCAGCCTCCTGAGTAGCAGTATTACAGGCGTGACTGACAAAGGTGTTTCTTTGTTTTGATGGGAATTGTATTAAACCAAAAGATGTACCTGGGGGGCAAGTAGACTCACGTTGGGCCTTCCAGTTCATGAAAGTGGGTGCTTCTCCCGTTCATTTTGTCCACATTTTGTGCCTTGATCCTGTTGTAGGTTTCTTCCATTTACTCCAGAACATTCATTTTTGTTGCAGAGATTATAAACCATACCGTTTCTCTGCTTCTACTTCTTTACCGTTAGGATGCAGAAGTGCAGTTGATTTGGGTATCTTTTCTTTCTATGCTATGACCTCGCCGGTCTTCCTAGTTCTGGTTGCTTCGGTTGGTTTGGGTTTTTGTCGATTTCCTACACGCACAGCCATCTCTTTTGCAGGGCTTCCTTTCTTCCTTTCCTTTAATTCCCTTCTCTGGTCTCTGGCAGTGGCTAGGACTTTGGGCCCTTGGTTGGTTTCATGAGCCTTGGCCACCTGGCCTTGCTCCTCAACTTACAGGTATTCATTCTTTCACTGGGAAGCAGACACGGCTGCAGGTTTTTACCAGAAAAACACCTTACCAAATCAGTTCCGTCTTTTGATCCCCACTCACCCCATCTTTATTAGGGGAGGGGGGCTTACGTGGGGGTTGGCCCCACGTCGCAGCAGTTACAGCGGACAGGGTGTCGTCGGTGCTTCCTGCTCGGGACCAGGGCCGGAGAGGGAGCCGGTCTGCGAGCTGGGCCGCGTGGGGGCGGCGTGGGCCGCCGCGCGCCCGCCGAGCCTCGCCGCGTGCCGGCCTCGGTTGGCCACGGGCGCGGCGCGGATCCCCAGCTCGGGGTGACAGCCGTCGCCGGGGCCAGACGTGGGCGGTGTCAGCTTCTGGCGGCAGCGCCCCGGAGAAGACAGCGCGGGGCCCGGAGCGAGGGGAGGGCCCGGCCGGCTGCTCGGCGCAGCTCCCCACCCCGGCGGCCCGGCCAGGCCGCGGAACCCGAAACCCAAGGGAGGAAGAAGGGAAGCCTGACGGGACGCCCCAGCCGCGCGGGTGCGGGGTGCGGGAGGCCGGGGCCCGGGCTTCACCCCCCCTCCCCCGCTCCCGGCCATCACTGCCCCCTCCCCGGGCGTGCCGAGCCCACACCTGCGCAGGTCGGCCCTGCCCGCCCTGGGGCCGCGGACGCCAGGGGCGTACGTACGTCGGTGCGTGCGTGCGTGGGGGGCGTGCGTGGAGGGAGGCCGGGCGCCACCGTGAGGGGCGTCTGACCGTGCACGCGGCCCGGGGCTGGGGCGCACGCCGGCGCGGGGCTCCCCTTCCCACGCTTCCTCCCGGGCTGTACCAAAGGCGCAGGGGGATGAGCGGAGCGTGCCACTGGCGGGCCCACCAGCGGCGACGGAGCCGCGTGGAGGGCGACTCCCTCTTCGCCTGACCCCTCCCTAGTCAGCCCCGCCCCGGGCGCCTCTCCTCCCCCTCCCGCCCATGTTGGCCCCGCCCCTTCCTGCTCAGCCCCGCCCCGGGCGTCTCTCCTTCCTCCACCCCGCTCGTGTTGACTCCGCCCCCCGCTCGTGTTGACTCCGCCCCTCCGTTCAGCCCCGCCCCGGGCGTCTCCTTCCTCTTCCCCGCCCGTGTTGACTCTGCCCCCCTCAGCCCCGCCCCGGGCGTCTCCTTTCCTCACCCCGCCTGCGTCCCTCCCGCCGCTGCCGCCGCCGCCCGCCGCCCGCCGCTCCCCGCCCGCCGCCCGCCGCAGGCCCCTCCTCCCCGCCCGCGCCCGCGGAGCGAGGCCCGAGCGCCCGGCCGGCCGCGAGCCCGCCGAGCCGGGGACGAGCGGCGCGGCCCATGCTGATCCCTGTCCTCCTCCCCCTCAGGCGGCGCTGGCGGCGGCCCCGGGACCCGCGGAAGCCGGCATGCTGGAGAAGCTGGAGTTCGACGAGGAAGGTGAGTGCGCGCCCGCCGCCGCATCCCGCCCGGACCCCGCTCGGACCCCGCCGCGGGCGGCGGGCGGCGGGGCCGCGGCTCGGGCCGGGCAGCGGCCGCCGGCGTGCGCCGGGGCGGGCGGCCCTTTTGTCCTCCGCACCCGGACTCGGCGGAGCGGGCTGTCCTGCAGCCCCGCCTGGGCGCCGGCGCGGCGCCCGCACCGGGACCCCGGCGCCCGCCGCGAGGCCCGCGGGTCCGCGCCGCGGGACGTGCCCGGCAGGGTGTGTCCCCGGTACTGGGGAAAGTTCAGCCCCCGGCGGCCCCGGAGCCCTGTCAGCGCCGCCGCGCGCTCCGCACTCGGCCCTTCTTCTGCCCCATTTTCTGCCGAGCCTCCTCACAGGTAGATAATAACCGGGTCGTGCTTGGAGGCCGGCGTGCGAGGCAGGAGCGAGCTCGGCCAGCATGCCTATTTAAGATGGAACCCGGCGAGCCAGCTCCAAGTGGAGCGCGAACTTTATGTAAGATGCGTGACAACTGGAGCCTTTCAAAGGCCTTCCTGCCGTCGGGTGTGCCACCCCCCCAGCGACTCACGTCTCTCCCTGCTTTCCCAAGCGGGTCGATGGCGTGGATAACGCGCCTGAGATGGGAGGGGCCTCGTGCCAACTTCGTGCCCCCTGTTCCCTGTGATTCCCGCGATTACTTAAATCAGCCTTGCCCGGCCAGCCCTTCCTCCCCTTCAGGCCTGTTCCCGTGGTCTTGTAAATGCTCTGCTGTGTCCCACACGTGTTGGCTGGAAGGTAACGCATCCATAGAAATTGCCATTCGAGGTCCTCTGTATTTATTAACAAATGATTCATTTCAGAATCTGCAGGGCTTAATTTACATTTCATCCTCCTGCAAGTTAAGCCAGTGATTTCATCAGAGCGCTTCCCAGGAAGGATACTGCAGGGCATGGCATGTCTTGGCCCTGGTCCTCCGTGTGTTCGGGGATGCTCTTTCTATTCAGACTTTGAATGGCTAAATCACAGATTAGGGTGAAGCCAGGAGACTGGCCAGCAATCACTTACAGAAGAGCCGTAGGATGTTTAAGGCTCAAAGCCAGGCAAAGATGGCTCATGCTTGCTTGTAAGCCTATCTACTCAGGAGATTGAGATCTGAGAATCTTCATTGAAAGCCAGCCCATTCAGAAAAGTTGGGGAGAGCCTCATTATCTCCAATTAACCAGCAAAAAGCCAGAAATGAGATTGTGTGGCTCAAATGGTAGAGCACCAGCCTTGAGTGGAAGAGCTAAGCAAGAATGTGAGTCCCAGAGTTCTTGCCCCCCAGTATTGGGGCACACATGGGCCCCCCCCCACAGAAATTTAAAAAGGACCCAAGTTCAGATTCAGATTTTACTTCCACATTTTCGTTGACTATCTGATCTTGGACAAGTGACTTTACCCTGTCTTTGCCATAGTTAGAAGACAGAGCTAATATCAGGCTGTTGGAAAGAGTAAATGCGTCCATCTGTAACCTTGTACTCAGTATAGGGTAAACACATAGTAAGCACTTTGTAAATATTATTTGTATTTAAGTGTCATTAGCCCTGTGCAAATGCACGGACTTCTTGAGGCTGGTATTAATCATAACACAGAGATTCTTCTCAGTGTTGGTTTGGTGGCTCCTCCCCCCCCCCAACCCGCACTGAGATTTATTTATTTAATTAGCATTTCTCAAAGTAGACACAGCCCCCCCCCCCCCCCCCCCCCGCATTGTTCCTGTCTGTGTAATGAATGTATTCAATCGAAACATCTAAGAAAGGGAATGTCTTTTCACCCATCTATTTTTATCTGTATTGCTGTCGTTGCTTAAAAGCTGTCGTTGCTTAAAAGCATGCCGAATCCCACAAATAACCCTGTCAAACATCGCGAGGTTTTTCAGGAGGCCGATGTTAAACCATGCCTTGGAAGCTGTGAGCCAGGCTGGAAGAGCAGTGGTGTTGGCGTGGTAGTCCAAAAAACACTTCATTGTTTCTTTGGAACTTCAAACTGCTAAATCATCTAAAAACATTTTTTTAGAAAAACTGAATATCAAGCAGAATCATGCATTTGCTTGAGGGGTGGTGGGAATTGATCCTAACAGTAAGACATTACACCTTTAAATGTCTCCCCAGCTAATGTGCTAGCAGCTTGCCTTTTTGGTGGCTACTAAGCAGACCCTCAGTTTTCACCTTCCTTTGTGTGTGCTGGTCCTGGCACTGGAACTTAAGGCCTCAGCTGCCACTTAGCGCTTTCTGCTAGAAGCCTGCACTTGAGCCATACAAAGCTCCACTTCCGGATTTTTGCTGATTAATTGGAAATAAGAGTCTTACGGACTTACTTTCCTTGCTGGGCTGGCTTTGACCTTCCATCCTCAGACCTCAGCCTTCTGAGTAGCAAGGATTACAGGCATGAGCACCTGGCTTACAGACTTTTTGTGTGTGTATGTGTGTGGGTCATGGGGCCTGAACTCTGAGCCTGGGCACCATCCCTGAGCTCTTCAGCTCAAGGCTAGCACTCTGCCATTTGAGCCACAGCGCCACGTCTGACTTTTTCTGCTTATGTGGTGTTGAGGAATTGAACCCAGGGCCTCATACATGCAAGTCAAGCACTCTGCCCCTTTCCCAGCCCTTACAGAGCATTTTTTAAGAGTCTGAGCCCAATTCTGTAGATCTAGAATGGGACTACATTGCTGCCAAACTCCATGCTACTGCTGGATCTCCAGCTTTTCTTTGAAGACCAAGGCTTCGGGTCACAGTTTGGCAAACTCAGCAAAGGGGCCAGTAGTAAATATTTGAGACTTGTGGGTGATAGGGTGTCGGCCTGTCATAACTACTGAGCTAGACTTTGCAGCAAGAAACCAGATATCGGCTAGAGGCTAAGCACAGTGGATGTGACTGTGCCCCAACAAGACTTTTATTCACAGAACAGTTCAAGTGCGCAGTCAGACAGAGGACTAGACCCCTGCTCCCTGCATCCCTCACTGTGTCTGCACCCTACCAATCTCATTATGGCTTCAGGTGCAACCTGAGGCCATTTTGTAAACACCTGCAAGTCTATTCCGTTGGTCTCCGTTGGTCTCTTCTTCCGCTGCCCACTGTTGAGCTGTGGTAGTAGGTGTTCAGTGGCACTGCCTGTAGCTACTTTATAATGAAGAGAACATTAAATAGCCCACTGTATAGAAAATGACCCATAGCGGTCACTTAATGCATTTGCTTTTTAAAGTTTTAAGTTATGGGCCCAGTCCCATCGTTTCCGTTTGTGGTTATCGGTATTAACCTTCTCAAACTTGCTTTTATTCCCTGAACCAAGCACTAAGTGTTGTGCAAGCACCCAATCCGCCTGTTTCATTCCTGATGACCGAGCCTGCTAGAGCTTGGCCGTGTCCAGCCGTTCTTCAGCCTTGTTTAGGACTCACACACCCACTCCTGGCTTTCCTTCTGCCATCCCAACTGTTGAAGGAGCCACAGCTGGATTTGGTTCATGGTGATGGTTTCTCTGGCTTCTGTTTTTGGTGGCTGAGTTTGAACTCAGGGCCTCATGCTTGCTAGCCAGGCCCTGCCTATTTAGGCTTCCCGTTGTGGTTAGGATGATAAGCATGTGTGCGCTTGCGCTCTCTCTCGTGCGCGCTCTCTTTCTCTCTCTCACGCGCGCGCGCACTCACACACACACAGAGTGCTCTTTTGAAAAGAGGGTGTCATGTACTTCTCTCAGGCTATCCTTGGATTGCAATCCTCCCAATCCCAGCCTTCCATGAGGTCAGGATTTTATTGGTGTGGGCTACAGGCACCTGCTTCTTGCCATCAGCCTCCCCACTGCTGTCACCTGCACCACTGTACCCCATTCCCTGCGTCATCCTCACTGCTGTTCTGCGAAGCATTTTCCAGACCTCATGTCCACTCACCGTGGCTACAGGAAGCTCAGCCAGCTGCGTTCACGGTCATCATAAATGGGGATGAGGCCACCTTATACGGGAGGAACGCATTACTTTTTAGCCCAGCGTCTCCAGCCTCAGGCCAGGTGTGTAACTGCGCCGCACTCTCCTGAAAAGGGACCAGGTCTCGGGGCTTCGCTTCTTGCTGTTCTAGCCCGGTTTTCTCTGCAGAGCCAGAGGCTGGCACCTGGTGATCTCTTGCTTCCCATTTGAGCTTGAAAATAGAACCCCAAAGCACATCACAGACACTCAAAAGGAGCAAGCAAAGGAAAACTGTTTTCTGCTGATCCTCTTGTTCTGCCCCCCACCCCCGGGCTGGAGGTGGGTGGTGGTGGTAAGGGAGGGTCTAAAGTGAGCGAAGGCGGCCATAGCTTCCAAGACATCCAGGAGGTTTGTGGTGCTCCGAAGGACCACAGAACACGAACAGACACAGTGGAGCTGTGGTAGTACTGTTCATGAGAGTGGAACAAGTAGAGAGGAAAGCTGTCTGAAAGGCTAGTAGGGAAGAGAAGAAAGTTGGCTTTTTGAAAGGCCTTTTGAGGGAGGAGTGGCATCACCTGGCTGCAGAGCTACGCAGGGGTGCTGACCCCTGAGTGCTGACCTCTGGTGGTAGAGGTTGCAGTGACAGCTTTGAGGTGGCAACAGGGTCTGCCTGGTCCTGTTGGTAATGCAGTTGCCTCACAAGCTCTGCCTCCGCCACTGAGTCTGTGTGCTCTTGTTTTGGCAAGTGTTTTGGACCTAGTGAATCTTGACTCCAGTACAACTCACAGTTGTATGAAATAGCAGTAGTTAAATTTGTCCTGTCAGCTGGGCACTGGTGCCTCACCGCTGTAATCCTAGCTACTCAGGATGCTGAGATCTGAGGATCGCAGTTCAAAGCCAGCTCAAGCAGGAAAGCCCATGAGACTTTTGTTTTTGTTTTTGTCGGTTGTGGGGCTTGAACTCTGGGCCTGGACACTGTCCCTCAGCTCTTCAGCTCAAGGCGAGCACTCTACCACTTGAGCCACAGCGCCACTTTATGGAGATAACGGTGGTTTATTGGAGATAAGCGTTTCACGGACTTTCCTGGC